TTTTGTACTATTATATTGCATACATTCTATGTTTTTTTTTTGTAAAAGTTCCGATTTAAATCGGATTAATTTCATTCTAGCTAATTTTGTTAGTAAATTACTTTAAATACATTTTAAAATTTGTATCATCGCTAATAATTGCGGCATAACATTATTATTGCGTCCTCTCATATTTGACATAAATTAATGAAATAAAATGTTCCGTGAGGAAATCTACTTCTTTTGAAGTGTTGATGTGGAATTACAATGATTTAAACTGGATTTTTGCGCTATCTGAACTTTCTTTAAGAAATTTGACACAAATTGATATTGACCTTGCTTGTTACTAAAATGCGCCGTAAAAGTATTTTTTGTGTGCTGTCAGAAAATAGTGCTCGCTATACGATACTTTGTTGACTTCATTGTTCAAGACCTCACAGAAGCTTCAAGACGAAGAACAGCAGAAACAGTAACGAGTGATTTTATATATCAAAACGTTTGAATCAAAAGCACTAATCTAAAAGGCATAGAAGTTGACGTGTGTAAGAAACATAAGTTGGAGTATCGTTTATACTAAATACCGTTCAAGCAGGGTTTTTTTTATTACGGAAAGTTACACGCATAAGTAGCATGGGACAATGCTAGCTTCTTTTTATTCTTCCTGAGAAGCTCTTGTATGAAGTTTGCCTCATATGAATTCAGGATAAGGAGATAGTCTGCTTAAAAACACTTCCTCCAATCCTAACAAATATGTTGTCAATAACAAAATCAAGCATCTGGAGGATGTATAACTTTGAAAGAATTTTTGCTGAGTCAAAGTTTTTTTTTAAGTAGGATATATCCATATATGTGTATCCATGTTGGCCATTTTTTTTTATGCAACTATGTCGAACTATTTTTGTCAATTTGTCTTTAATTTAAGAATGAGAACGAAATACTAGTGTAAAGTAAAATGGTTATATACTATTTCAAGTAATAGTGTGCATTCTAACAGACCTTTCTATTTGTTTGTGTATCTCAAGTTTGATTCACATCGGCTTTTGAGTAGATAGTTTCACAGTATTAAACTCTGAAGCCCGGCTTTAATTGCGGATGCAATTAATATTAATAGTTTGAAAAACGGTTTTGTGGTGCACTTGGTAGACCCAGTAATATAACGTTGTTTGTAAGGACTATGATCTGGGTTTGATTTCCATTACAGTGAAGAAAGATCCAGTTCTTCATCTTTGGTCGAAAATTCAATAACATAAAACAGACGTATGATTGTTCATGATTTTCACTTTTGTAAGTGTCGTGAGAGTACATGTTGAGGTTCCAAATGAATTGTCAACTATACCTAATTCCTTTATCAAGCAGTTTAAGTAATATGAATTACACACAAAAACGATGTTGTTCGGGGCTTTTTTCTGCTAGTACAACAACATATTTGATATGGAGGTACGATCGGTATTTTACGGAAGCCGATAAGGGCCATTCAAAAAAAAAAAAATTATGTCGTAATTACGACATAGCATGTCGTAATTTCGACATAACATGTCGTTATAACGACATCGCTATGTCGTAATTTCGACATAACATGTCGTTATCACGACAACGCTATGTCGTAATTTCGACATAACATGTCGTTATTACGACATCACTATGTCGTAATAACGACATAGCTATGTCGTAATAACGACATCGCTATATATATAAAGAATATGTATTATGATTGCCAAGAGACTTAATGACACAGAAATTAACAACTATAGGTCATCATAATGCCCTCAATAATGAGAAAAGCCCCCGCATAGTCAGCTATAAAAGAGGGACGAAAGATACCAGAGGGAGAGTCCCCGACATGACAGCTGTTTAATAATTTAATTCAAACGAGTGAAAATAACGGTTTTAATAATGTACAAACAAAGACCGAAAAACGAATATGTAACACAGCAACAAATGACAATTCCACTGAATTACAGACTCCTGACCGCTATGTGATAATAACGGCAACCTTATAGTTTAACTTTTCACTTTTTGATGCGATAGGCATTTCAAAATGGTTGTCAGTAAAGGCAAAGTTTGTAGCGGAAACAAATTCATCTTTTTTTTTTTAGAATAATGAACACTATATGCAATCAAGCTTAATTAAAGTTATTCACTTGCACCTCAGACTTGCACATACTAGAACTTTATTAATAATCAAGTCAAATGAGGCCCAGTTGAATAGGGGAGCAATTCAAGCTCCTTGGAGCCTCTAATTATGTTTGGCATGTACAGATTTGTGTAAATTATGAAGTCCTGCATTTCCATTGCAGGTTCTGAATAAGATAAATTTAAGCTTTTCCCAATAAAGACTATGTTAAACTGTGTACTCATAGTGCTCAGACCCACGGATCTCTGTACCTTCATTTGTACACACTTGAATCTTAATGTACAGTAACTACTGAGGCTTGATGCAAATTATTACTGCATTGCCATTGTTGGTTCTTAATGACATTCTTCAAGCGTCCTCCCCATTGAAGCCCTATTAAAACTTTGTACCCCAAGTTCTTTTAACCACTGTTCCCCAGGGCAACTATTCCTACAAACTTAAGGGGAGGGTTAGGATCCCGCTAACATGTTTAACCCCGCCACATTCTTTATGTATGTGTATGTCCCAAGTCTTTAATTTACATATTTGTTTTTCGTTTATTTTTGTACATAAAATAGGCCGCTAGTTTTTCTCGTTTGAATTGTATTACATTTGTCATTTCGGGGCCTTTTATAGCTGACTATGCGGTATGGGCTGTGATCATTGTTGAAGGCCGTACGGTGACTTTAATTGTAAGTTTCTGTGTCATTTGGTTTCCTGTTGAGAATTGCGTTTTTGAACAAACCAGCGTATCCCAAGGCCTTGATAACCTCTATAGGCCACAAATAAGACGAAGAAAACATCAAAATTGGAGAGAAAACTGAAAAAAATGGTTTCTAACCTCAGGGATATTAACCCTTGGCTATCTTAGATTTAATGCAATCAGTATGCATCAGCATCAGGGTACAGCTCATTTGCATATCATTTGCTTTTTTTTACAAATACTCGAAATTTAGACAATTTCTGATAACAATTCAGCATGCCAAGGGTTAATATCCCTAAGGTTAGAAATCAACGGTATTTGGAAGGCCATATAATTTACCTCAATTAAGGATTGACTCTTGAATTTTGAAGAGTCGAAATAGGATGAACGGATTAAATAAACCCGAAGGCAAATATAATACAAGCCCAAACGAAAAAAATATAAACAAGTCTAAATTGAAAACAACGTTCAAACCTATGATATATACATTCATTTTACAGGTAACAATTGTAAAAATAAAGATAACTCATAGTAAATATGTTTTTAGTTATGAATTTTGAAAATATTTTTAATTTCAAATTATATATTTTTCAAATTGACTTCTAAAAATATATAGTGATCGTGATAAAATCCCGTAATAGCTTAAGACATACATGTAACTTACTTTTCGAATATTTCAGAGTAAATTGTATTCTTTTTCCTGATTTCATCGAATAGTAATCGATTTAGTAAAAATAATTTAAGTCAGTTTGTTGAGTTGCGTGAAGACACAAACATGGAGTTTCGTTTGTCATAAACAAATCGGGGGGGGGGGGGGGGGGGGGGGGGGGGATCATTAATGAACGAATGATTTACTTTCCGTATCGAGAGAACACTTAAGTCCTGGGATATTTCATGGCGACCAAACCGTAAATAATTGCAAAGATATTTCGTTAGATTCCCTATTTCCTCCTTGGGCATCACTACCGTCAGAAGAACCCAGGGGCACTACAAACGACCCTGAATCATTCCGTGCTCACTACAATCAGAACTTTTATACAGCACTTCCATGTAGTTTTGTGTTTCATAAAGCAGTGGGCTTCAAATATTCAGCACGTTACGACATGTAATATCAGTACTTTTAATATTAAGATTTGCGATTTTTACATTTTATCATACTGTATATATTTCCAGGACTAAGGACCAGGAATAAAACGGACTTATCATGCTCGAAAATAATAGTTAAATAAATAAGTATAATCTACCTGTATTAACCTCAGTTTACCTGAGCTACCTGTTAAACAAATGCGCGCAAATGTAATCAAAAGCTGCGCGCAAACGTAATGATTTTATTTTATTAATAAATTTAAGTTTGCGCCTCCTCCCTAACAAACCTATGACAGACCTAACGTATGTCGTAATATATATCTTAGGACTCCTAACGTATGTCCTAATATTATATCTTAGGACTCCTAACGTATGTAATGATAGATATCTTAGGACTCGTAACGTATGTCCATAATATATATCTTAGGACTCTCAACGTATGTCGTAATATATATGCTAGGACTCCTTACGTATGTCGTAATATATATCTTAGGACTCCTAACGTATACCGTGATATATATCTTAGGACTCCTAACGTATGTCGTAATATATATCTTAGGACTCCTAACGTATGTCGTTATATATATCTTAGAACTCCTAACGTATGTCGTAATATATATATTAGCACTCCTAACGTATGTCGTAATATATATCTTAGGACTCCTAACGTATACCGTGATATATATCTTAGGACTCCTAACGTATGTCGTAACATATATCTTAGGATTCCTAACGTGGGACTCCTAACTTATGTCGTAATATATATCTTAGGACTCCTAACGTATGCTATAATATATATCTTAGGACTCCTAACGTATGTCATAATATATATCATATGGCTCCTAAGGTATGTCATAATATATATCTTAGGGCATGTCTTAGACGTTTTCAAATCCAGGCTACTGAAGTTTTGCTTTACTTTGATATAATAATGCAGATTCTTTTAAGTAACCTCATAGCTAATTTACGAGGAATTCATATTTTTCAGGTTTTTTAAGCATGACTGTTATGTATACAATCACGGGAAATTACTATTATTTGCGGAAGAAATTTGAAAATTTTATGTACTTAATTCAAAAATGAATTAGTCATTATAGAGTATTTAGGTCAGTTTGTATTGTCCTTATATAAGCAACTTGTAAATATAGTGCATAGCATTCCGAGAGTGAATCAAATATGCGATATTTGTGAATTTTGAGATGCAAGCGGTTTTCCTTCTTATTTGTTTTTGGAAAGGTCTGTATAAAAGTATAATTTGTGTATCTAATTTCTTTTAAAAGAGGTACAGTTTTACTTCTTTTTTTAAATTGACAATTTATCAATGTGTATGTTAAATATCTTTGCTTTTACACCTTACGTGTTTGGTTTTTTTTCTGTAGTATATTAAATTTGAATTCTACGAGGAAAAAATATTTTTCTCTAATTCCTAGATAAAATTTCCTTTTACAAATTGTATGTTTCGTTTGATTAGGAGCAGTAATATGGGCTTTTGATGACTACTGCAACCAGACGCATAAAAACAAAAATGAAACGACTGCTACAATTGGATCGACGAAAATTTTAAAATGTCCCGTCGGCAAACAGGTTAATTTGTTTGCTTGGGAGAAATTCAATGTAAACGACACAATCGCAGACGGTACCAAAATAAACCCAAATTATCAACACCTAAACAAGTTTGCTATTGACAGCCGTCAAAATGAAAACAATTTGATAATATCTAATATATCAACTGCTGATGGTGGGAAGTACTGTTGTGAACAGACAGGTTTCCGGTGCTGTGTACTGTTATACGTAAAAGGTAATTCGTTTCTTATTATTTCTCGGGTGGTTTAGGAAGGTAAATAATAGTAAGGAAATGTCGTATGTTTTGTCAATGAGACAACTGTCCATTAAAGTAATGTTAACAATAACTGGTCTTCGCTAATGAGTAAAACCTATACCGCATAGTAAGCTAAGTCAAAAGGATGATAAAATGTAAGACAATTCAAAACAGAATACTAATGGTCTGATTTAAACTACAACAATAAACGAAAGCTATATCAAGACAGGCAGTAACCTAAGACAACCACCATAATGCAGGCTCCTGGCTTGAGACAAGCACAGAAGGAATGTGGTGAGGTTAAACATGTTTATTTGCGCTCAAAACTCTCCATTATAAGGAGCAGAGCTGTAACAACACAACATAAGAACAAAAAAAGTTAGTTGGAAAGGACCTGACTGATGAGATCGTTACTAAGCACAAACAACAAATAACACTACGACAAACGATCTAAGGGTATTTACAGTTACTAAAAGCTATGTTAAAGACCAATTTCAACTAATAAATAAAAAATGTTACGCAGACTAAAATATCAATCAGTATACATCCAATGAATTCAGTGTACAGAGTTAAAAGCAGCCAGAGAAAAGCATGATATTCTACAATGTCAAACTATCATTATATACAGGGTGCACTAACATATACGTGTTAATAACTGAATAAACAATACAGCAGTCTGTATGTATCAAGTTAAACTGCAAGCACTGTTATTTATGTTCTATATATAGCACGCTTTTTACGAATTAACGTATTTAATTCACAAAAAGCGTAGCTTTGACTGGATTTAATATGTTAATGAGTAAGGCGTGGCTATATATGATTTGACACATTAATGGGCGATGACACATGTCAAAGGTTAAACTTAACTGTACTTTTCATAAATTACTTATTAAAACTGTTGCACAAAATTATGGTATCAATACATCTTACATGCGATGATACACTTTATTTAAGGTAGTATTACCATGAGATAATCAAGTACACAACTCTGTACGTAATCGGTCAATTCAACTTTGGATCATTAAAAAACACGTGTTCTAATTTCGCAGGTGTACTTGGGCGGCGGTGATTGAAAGTTTATGTGAGGTCGAAGGTTTGAATTGACCAATGAAAACGACCGTTCCTTGGCGAGATGATCGAATAAAGTTTGTTTGACTGATTACGTCGCACAGCCTTTCGCTAAGCTTGGCCGCAGTTAAGTGTAAATATGTCAATCAAAAAGTGGCGCTTTCAGTGTATGTTCACTTGTTTTTGTTAATATGTCTTTTGATTGAGTTGAGCCATTTCAATTGATATTTTATAGTGTGTCTTTCTATGTTGTGATGTTACACTATTGTTTCAGGTAGGGTGAAGGGGGCGCCTATTAAAACGTTTCAAACCGCTGCATTTGTTTGCACCTGTCCTAAGTCAGGAACCTGATGTTCAGTGGTTGTCGTTTGTTGATGTGGTTCATAAGTGTTTCTCGTTTCTCGTTTTTTATATAGATTAGACCATTGGTTTTCCTTTTTGAATGGTTTTACACTAGTCATTTTTGGGGCCCTTTATAGCTTGCTGTTCGGCGTGAGCCAAGGCTCCGTGTTGAAGGCCGTACTTTGACCTATAATGGTTTACTTTTACAAATTGTGACTTGGATTGAGAGTTGTCTCATTGGCACTCATACCACATCTTCTTATATCTACTTTCTTTGACAAAACGTCTCTTAATATCAGAAAATGAATTCATGGATCAGATTGTTTAGTAGTATTTGATTTTATGATACATGCACATATGTAAATGAATTGTTGACGCGATATTTTCATCAAGGTTTAAAGACCAGAGTGAGATTTATGTGTTTTTGAAATTGATTATTTTGTAAAAAAGGGGAGGGGTTTTTCACATGTCGCGCCGTAACTCAAAAACGATTTATGATTATTGCTTAAAACTTTACACACTTCTTGGTTATATTAATCTGAAGATCTGTATAATTTTTGGTTTTGATTCAAAATTTTATTTTTGAGTAATTGAGTATTTTGTAAAAAAAAAAGGGAGAGGGGTTTTTCACATGTCGCGCCGTATCTGAAAAACGATTTATGAGTATTGCTTAAAATATTACACACTTCTTAGTTATATTAATCTAAAGATCTGTATACTTTTTGGTTTTGATTCAAAATTTTATTTTAGAGATATTGAGTTTTTTGTAAGAAAAAGGGGGGTTTTCACATGTCGCGCCGTATCTCAAAAACGATTGATGATTGTTGCTTAAAATTTTACACACTTCTTAGTTATATTAATCTAAAGATCTGTATACTTTTTGGTTTTGATTCAAAATTTTATTTTAGAGATATTGATTTTTTTGTAAAAAAATGGGGGGTTTTCGCATGTCGCGCCGTATGTCAGAAACTATTTATGATTATTGCATAAAAATTCACACACAAGACGACGGGCGTATCATGCGCTCATAGCGCAGCTGTTTACTTAAACTTATTGTGAATGTATTCTTCCTTTCCCACCATCAGTAAAAAGATCGATTAATTGATGGATTGTTGATTGCGTAAGGTCCAGAGACAACTATTTTAAGCATGCTCAATTTACAGAGACATACTTTTGAAAAGTGGAGGAAATGAAACGACTGAATATCCAGAGACGTATTTTTGGAATATCCATTTTGACACGATAAACAAGTATCCACCAAATTATCAATATTGCCTCTTCGTTTAGACCACATTAATCCTTTTTGTAGCTCTCCTCAGGCATTCATTTGCTTCAAGTTTATGGAACCATTTTTAATTTAAGGTTAGGTTTACAAGTTTGGCTACTGTAAGGGTAGGGCCCCCGCCCCCTTCCCGAATTTATGTTTTGATAAATTGTTGTATATGCATTTTATTTAAATTTATTCGGAAATTTTATGGTCATAGATTTCATTTTTTAATAACAACTTCTGAGATGGAAGTTAGTGCACTGGTCTAAGCTCCTCCCATTCTTTGCCTTTCTTATGATAAGATGTCAACAGCGGGATAATAAAGTGAAATAACTAAAAATATCATTCAGTTGATGCACTCCTCTAAAAATAACAGAAGTAAGCTCACTCGAAGATCAAAGGAAAAAATAACATTCATGTTATAATTAAAAATATTTCTACAATGTTAAGTTGATAACCTTTAGGAATAAGACTATTCAAGTGATCAAATAGTGTATGTGGCTCGTTTCTTAATTGCGGAGCTTTATGAAAAGAAAAACATCACTGTAAAATTAGGAAGTGCTATTCTGATTGTAATAAGATTTTTAAACGTACAGTGAAACTTCCTAACCAAATTTTTGAATCTATGAAGAAGTTTATTGAGGGTAATGAGTTATTAGTGGAAACGAATTCCTGGACTTATAATTTATCAGTTATACATAGATGACATTCATTTTTAATACAAACATAAATATAGCGAACGATTTGGAAATAAATCATCGGAAAAAAGGGCCAGGGGAACATCAGCATCCAAAAAAGGAAAATTAACAATATGGAACTAAATTTTTTTGTATTCATCTTAGTACGTTGTTTTTTGTTTTTTGTTTTTTTCTTTCTTTCCCTTTCTTGTTTTAGTTAGTTTTTATGATAGCAGATCTTTAAAATATATAAAACAAAACTTCCCAAACTTGAGATGATGTAGACTTTGACATATTTTGTCACATGTGTCGTGTTTAAGGCTATTTTCTGATCTCTGATACCTTTTGGTTTTTGTTCTTTCATGTATCATTGGCATATTATCTGAGCTCTGGCATATTATGTAGTACCGTACACCTGCTTTTATACAAAAGTAAAAAAAAAAAAAAAAATTTAAACTTAATTAACTTAATAAAGTGAATTTACATCATACATTTTGCTTGACAAAGCTGAACAAATCAAAGACGCCAGCGTCGTTCGTAATTCCGGCTCTTACAGCTAATTGATTAGGTTTTACATATCATGGAAATATGTTGCATATTTTATCCAAAAAATAACTGATGCATAACATAATAAAGATTTACTGTTTTACCTAATTTAAGCACGCACATATGTATGACTCGTTGTTTGGTCAAAGCATACCCCCCCCCCCCATGAGAAACATCTCACATTTTCATAAGGTCAAAATCAAAGTCTGTATGCAGTTAGCTCGAATTTTTGGCTTTTTGCTATAGTTTGCATCATTCTGAATGGATTGTCATGACCTTAAAAGTATAAATTATCATCCAGACAAAATAGTTTTGAAAATATCCATTAGTTTTTAAATGAAAATATGAAAAAGCATCTCATTGGAAATATTTTTTAATTAAGATTATTAGGACTATTCTGAACTGCTCAGACTCTCACTCTTTAGTTTGTTTGTGAGTAAGGAAGTTTTACAAAGTTTCAAAAACTTATTTACTCTTTATTCTGCATAAAACCTAATCATCAAAGCAACTTAGTAATAAATAATACCTTTTAATCTATACCTATATTGGAAATCATAGTCAGCCAAGCTTTAATCCGTGGAAATTAAAATTATATGTCGGATGATCTGACCGAAAAATATAAATCATACAGTAGTGGCTAGGAGGAGACAGCACAACTGTCGACCGAACAAAACATTATTCTCTTGTATAACTGCATATATAAGCGGCAGATGATTCAATTGTATACATGGAAGGATTAATTATAATTTTTGATTGTTACAGACAAAAGGTACTTTAATTTCCCACGGTTTTACCAACGTTTGTCTTTTATGTAAACGCATGCGCTCAAATAACCACTAACTATCATGAACAATGCACCTGAAACGACCTGCATTGAATAGAGGTATGCACGTCGGTTATCTAAATCATAAATAAGATTAAAGCCAATTCATAAACATTTATAGTTATTTCTTTTTTAATGCGTGACAACATGCCTCTCCTCATACACTTATTAGCATTAAACCGCCTTGGTGGACTCGTGGTAGCGTGTTCGCCTGTAGTGCGGGAGGCTTTGGGTTCAAACCCCGGCCGGGTCAAACTAAAGACTTTAAAATTGATATTTGCTGCGTCTCCGCTAAGCACATTAAAGAGTAAGAGCAAAGACTGGTCCGCTCGGAGTCAGAATAATGTGTCCGGGTAAGGTGACATGACTTCCTGCGGACTGTTACCTTGTGAACTAGCACGCACGTTAAAAATCCGGTTCAGCGTGTAGGTCTAGTGCAATGCAGGGTTAATATTCATATTACATTAACATGTTCTCGTCCTGAATATGCATATTAATTTGCCGCTGGACACCATCATCATCATGGATTAGCATTTAAATTATTATATATGGAGGAAATGATGCGTACTTTTATTATTTTTTTTTAATATACTAAGTTATTCAAAAGAAAAAAAAGAGTCCCATACATGTGGAACCTTACACGTAAAACACACAGTTCATGCGCAATTGTTTATGTAGTTTCTCTCATTATACTCATTTATGCCATTTCAATGATCAGCAATATGTCATATATATTCGAATTCTTAACATTAAAAAAAAATAAATCTTTTTTGTTTCATTACTCATTAAAAAAAACATGTTAATTCTAGATTATTAAGTTGTGTACACAATGGAATTCATCTTATAACTCTATATTCCAAAAGAGGCACACTTTAATTTCTAAAGCAGTTTTGTTAAATCGACCACGTTCAAAAGCTATGATAATTTTGTTACGTATTCTTATTTTGGTATAGTTATTTTATAACATTTTTATCTAAATTCAATAAAAGCTACTTTTAAAGTTTGTTTTTAACTTAAAATTTTGTATAGGTTGTTGACTTAATTCCGTAAATTAATTTTTCATCATTAATAAGACAACTTTCCAAGATATATTGTAATTTTTATTGATCATGTTGATTATAAACAAGAACATTGTAAGTTTTTTCACAGTAAAGCATATTCGCCTAATTTTTTTTTTTGTTTTTTTCTACATACCTGTATGTTATTGGAATTCTAACTTATTCAAACCAATATCGATTTAATAAACGAGATTTCTGATAAACGATTTTCCCTCATGTGCGAATACGACTTTATAACTATATTACAAGGTAAACGAGATTTCTCGTTCACGGATGTTTCTTCAATAATTTGTCTCACAGAATTATAACCCGATAGCTCAATAGTATAAGTTACTGGTAGCGAGTGTTCGTCTTGTACGTTCGCTCTTGATTTTCGACAACTGACAATCTTGAGAACGAACAATACAGAATAATGATAATTGTCCGAAGCCTAGAAGCGAAAAGGGACGAGGATATATTAACAAAGTTGATTGTCACTTTTAATCGATGTAATTAAATTCGATTATAATTTGTATCGACATAAATATATCGTCATCTACTTCAAGTCAATATATTTAATATCGGATTGTTTTGATATAACACAATATTTCGTAATATTTTTCATAACTTATTGCGTTATCGCCACACAAGTCGACATAGAATATATCGATATGTATGATATAACGCAACAAGTCATTAGCAACAACAACAAACTAGAGGCTCTCAAGAGCCTGTGTCGCTCACCTGTATTTACTGATGCTTTGGAAATCTTGTAAAATAAGGTTAAAATCATAATTAATAGTATTAGATATTAGGTATTATAATGATATCTAAGATAATAACAAAACACTGCAAAATTTTTGTAAAATTACGAATTCAGGGGCAGCAACCCAACAACGGGCTGTCGGATTCGTCTGAAAATTTCAGGGCAGATAAATCTAAATCTGATAAACAATTTTTGCCACCTGTCAGATTTGCTCTAAATGCTTTAGTTTCAGAGATATAAACCAAAAACTGCATTTTACCCCTTTGTTCTATTTTTAACCATGTCGGCCATGATGGTTTAAAGGCAGGGTCATCGGACAAATTTTTTAAACTAGATACCCTTATAATGATTATGGTCAAGTATGGTTAAATTTGTCTCAGTAGTTTCAGAGAAGAAGATTTTGTAAAAGATTACAAAAAATTACGAAAAATTGTTAAAAATTGACTATTAAGGGCAATAACTCCTAAAGGGGTCGCCTAACAATTTTGGTCATGACAACTTATTTGTAGATCTTACTTTGCTGAACATTACTGCTGTTTACAGTTTATCTCTATCTATAATAATATTCAAGATAATAACCAAAAACTGCAAAATTTCCTTAAAATTACCAATTCAGGGGCAGCAACCCAACAACAGGTTGTCAGATTTGTCTGAAAATTTCAGGGCAGATAGATCTTGACCTGATAATCAGTTTTACCCTTGTCAGATTTACTCTAAATGCTTTAATTTCAGAGATACAAGCCAATAGCCATGGCCGCCATCTTGGTTGGTTGGCGGGGTCATCGGACACATTTTTTAAACTAGATACCCTAATGATGATTGTGGTCAAGTTTGGTTAAATTTGGCCCAGTGGTTTCAGAGGAGAAGATTTTTTGTAAAAAGCTAACGACGACGGACGACGACGCGGACGACGACGACGACGCCGACGACGACGACGGACGACGGACGACGGACGACGGACGACGGACGACGGACGCCAAGTGATGAGAAAAGCTCACTTGGCCCTTCGGGCCAGGTGAGCTAAAAATGATACCTATACGCTTCCGTACCAAGCAATGCATTTGCTGATATAACAAATAACCAAGATTGATGAAAAGTTTAAAAATCTAATATATAAAGACAATTTAACACTAAAATCGCGGTATCTTCTTCTGAAAATTTAAAACGGGAATGTTTAATACATATTCATATTCGAACTTAACTTTACGGGATGAGACTGGATGCTGGATTCGCACTAAAATTGCTCATAATAGATAAGTTAAGTCAATGAAGGTTTTTGGCCTCAGTGCAATAAGCTAGTTTTAAAATACTCTTTCAATTTACATACTACAAATTTAAACGTGAACGATTGTTTAAAAGTTTTTTAAAATAACAAAAACTGTACACTTGTTGTACTAAAAATTAATTCTTAGCTGCTTTGAATGTGTACGAAACCAACTTATGAACCTTCTTATTGTCCATTTGTCTAAATAATTTGGATAAAAAAAAGAAGTAGCGACTACTAACAGTACATAGAAATATTGTGTTTCAACGTGAAAATCATCAAATGAGTACGCGTGAAAGTTTAAAGCTACGCTTGTTGATAAATGGTCACGTTTTGGCATCAATATTTGAAATTGAATTAAATTTCTTATTTGGCAATGAATCGAATTAGTTTTTTTTATTGTAACGTACCAAATGTTCAATACGATGAGCATTTTGGAAATTCTAGGAACATTCGTATTAATTTTTGAGAATATATTTTTTTAATCGCCTATTTAACATTAAACAAAAAGGGATGCCTATTTAGTGGAGTGCCTTTTTAACTAGTATGCGAAATATCGACCGATTTTTAAAACCCTATTTTGACATATTTGTTAGTCGGAAATATTGAGCATAAGCAGCTAACACATATTTTCACGAGCGTTTCTGTTAATAAAGACAAACATCTAGATTAATTATATATTAAGTACTTGCATGTGCTCTATATTTTCGTGTCCAATAAACTAGTAATAATTTAAATTCAGAGTAATGTTTGAACCAATCAAGAAGAAGGATGACCAGTTACTCTAAAATATCCATCTCAGACTAACCACATCACTATCAAAATGTACCCGACACTCATAAAATAACTATCTCTCCAGCAAGTGTACAATTCAATTTTGTGAATTTTGTGAATTGTGTATTCAGAAATGTTTTGATTCTAAAATCCGAAACGTAAATCATATGTAAAGAAAGATATATTCAAATCAAACATTGAAACTGAATAATATAAAATTAAAATACAACTTACCAGTACCTAAACTAAACTAAATAATATTGTTCATACGAGGTTTAAATATATACGTCTGGACATCAAGTCTCTAACACACAAAAAATCCCCGCGAAAGCTCAGGGACAATACCCTGGCTAAATATGATAGCTTAAAATTAAATATAGGAATTGACACGACTCATAAACCTTTCAAAATGTATTAAATTAAAAGAAATTACTCTATGAAAAAATCATAAAAAATTAAAAAATTGAATCTCTTCACTTTTCAAAAGTCAAAGTTTTTAAACTCATTCTATTGTGAAAAGAAATTGGCAAATAACTCAATTCAAACTTAATGATTGATTGATTATTTTGTGTTTAACAACACTTTCAACACTATTAGATATCTCTCACTCTCATATACGTTTTTCTTTTTCTCAAATTAAATTTTGTCCACTTTTAAATGAGTTTTGGATCATGAACTTAAAACTAGATAAGAAGGATACGCATTCCATCAGTTCAGTATGCTTATTATTAGGCCTTTTTACGCGCATGCTATTCTTAGTTGATAGTTGTGGGTAGGTAGTAAACCCCAATAGAGACAAGTGCCATGTTTTCCCTTACAACTGAGGAAACAAAACATGTATTGTTCATTCCAGTTTCAAAAACCAGAGGAAATTATTAATGCTTTAAAAAAATTTAATTTTACCAATTAATGTGTTCTCACATATTAACCTACTTGAAAAAAACCAAATGCAGTTTCCTGAACTATACAATGAGACAACTGAAGGTTATATTTCCTATTCGAGTGCTACGAGGCTGGTCGTAGTCATTTAGAGAAACGTTATAAAAATTCATGCAAACCTTTCTATGTATTTTCTACTTTATTTTCTTTCTTTATTCAGAATTTAATAATTTTATTAATAATCTATGCGAAAAAAAATGTTAAAATATAAGATGGCCATGCCAATCTGGTTTCGAACTGGAGAAGGGAAAATATTTCAACAAATATACCTTCAAAATGAATCTGAAAATACTCAAATATTATTTATGTAAATTTTACCTATGATTCAGAGGCACCAGAAGTTTCCGTTATTCAGCTTGATAATGGTTCTTTGTTGTGTAATGCAACTGGTTTTCCAGATAACATAAGCTACTCAAGATGGGAACACAAATCACCAGAGCGAAAACACCTACGATATTTAAAAGGGACAGAAAATGGAATTCTTAATTTTAACACTTTGGACGGGAATACTGGGCTTGATTCTACGTACAGTTTGGACGGGATCTATATTTGCAAGGTTGTGAATCACATGACAAAAGATGGAGACACAAATTTTCAAACTGGGTTTGCAAATGTTCTGTTTAAAGGTAATAACAAATATCAGTACGTTTAAAGTAAGCCTTTAACATAACATTAGCTCTATTACTTATATCTTCCATATATTACTGAAGAGATATGTTTTTCAAATCATAATTGAAGTATTAAGAGCCATGATGTCGTTATTGAATAGTTCATTACTAAACTATGTTTCGAAAAAAAAGTAATCTTATAAATTATTCATGGTTTACCTTTATTCTGAAATCTAATAAATAATGTTTTTCAAGAGAATTATTAAAGACTAGCTGCGGAACCGTAGCTCATAGGTTCTTATTATAATTTTTGACAATTTGGGGACCATAGAGCTACGGATTTTTCCTATTTCAAAACGTTCGGAATTGCGACCCAGGTTCAGGTCGCACTTATTTCCCAAAAAATTATTGTTTATCGCCTGTGCGTAGCTTGTCAATGTATATAGTTCGTTTCGTTAGATATTTTTCTTGGATATGACGTACCTATTGATGTTTGAAAATTCATTTCCTTGACACTATTATCTAATTATTTCCTTTTGTATACATTATCCGCCTATTTTGTTCAGCCGTATTGAATCTCGTCATGACGTCATTAAAAACAAGAACAGATAACTCTTATAGAAAAACACGTGTTGGTTTGTTTACGTGATCTTTTATTCGATTTTCATGACTTTTTGAACGAAAGAACGTTATATTGATCATTAATACAAAAGAAAACAATAATTTCTCCCTGCATTTTAAAAATTCGTGTAATTAGTGTTCCTAAGCCTGTAAAACACACAAATCCCGTTAAGTGACAAGTACATGTAACAAACCAAAAATTGTTTTCCTATTCTGTAGGTGTTCTTCACCTCCCACAAAGGAGATCGACGATATTAAGGTTATCTTTTCTTGTTTTTCCTGACGTCACGACTATATTCAAAATGACTGAACAAAATAGGCGGAGAATGTAAACTAAAGGAAACAAGCATTCTGAGAGTATTGCATGGCAATACATAGTCCCCTACCTATTAAGAATTCATTGTACTGGAACAAAATGCTAACTTGATCTATAACTTGTCATGATGTAAAGTATATAACAAATATCAAGTCAATATTTTCAAGCATGACGTAAAAAAGTGTGGAAAACTGATTATTTCAGTTAATTTTCTAAAGTCCAAGGACCATAAGTTTGCACAAAATCATTAGACCGGAACAAAATTCGAACTTGATCTGTAACTTGTCATGATAAAAGTATATACCAATTATTAAATCAATATCTTCAAGCATGACAAAAAAAGTGCGGAAAACTGGTTTATTTGAGTGAATTTTCTAAGTCCAAGGACCATAACTCTGCACAAAATCTTCCGACCAGAACAAAATTCGAACTTGATCTGTAACTTGTCTTGATAAAACTATATACCAAAATTCAAATAAATAACTTCAAACTCGAAGAAAAAAAGTGTGGAAAACTGATTTGCCGGACTGACGGATGAACAGACAGACAGACAGACAGACAGATAGACAGACAGACAGACAGACAGACAGATAGATAGACAGACAGACAGACAGACAGACAGACAGACAGACAGACAGACAGACAGATATGCAGACGGAATGCAAACCTAAAGTCCCCTTCGACTTCGTCGGTAGGGGACTTATAATTAAATAATAGTGACAAGGAAATGAATATTCAAACATAGATAGGTACGTCATATCCTAGAAAATATCTAACGAAACGAACTGTATATTGACAAGCTACGCACAGGCGATAAACAATATTTATTTTGGGGAATTAAGTGCGACCTGAACCTGGGTCGCAATTCAGAATGTTTTAAAATAGGAAAAATCCGCTCTATGGTTCGCAAATTGTCAAAAAATATGATAAGGACCTATGAGCTACGGTTCCGCAGCTAGTTTTAAATGATTCTCTTGGAAAACATCATCAAATCCTAAGTCATCATCACAGTATGATATGATTTCTCAATCTTTGCTTTTTCCTTTTCTTTTTATTTAGAGTTCGTATAGTATCCAATAAATTTGTTCGTTTTACATGCATGCTTATATTATTATAGTATGTATATTATTATATTGTAATCTGTCGAAGACTAAATAAGTATGATTTACGTGTGTCTCATCCATTTTACTACGATTTAGCAAATACAATATGTTCAAACTAGATCCGTGTTTAAAACATAGTACATGCTTTTCATAGTTTTGGTCAAAGGTATAAATCAAGTATTATTTTTATAGTCTTAAAAGATAATAATCAAATGATTTTGAATGAAAAATTATATTATGATTTAGAATAATATATGTTTGTTCGACACGTGGCTGATAAAATTTAAAGATAGCACGATAGTATTTGCATTCCAGAATTTAGGTTGCTCTTTTGTTTACCCTACTTAAGTCACTGTATCTGAACATTATGATTGGACAAAAAATACAGTATCAACTGAACATACTTTCCCAAACTGAGGGATGAATCAGGTGTAGAAAAATATGAAATAATTTTACATACAGATGAAAATGAATTTTTGAGAATTTTGTATTCACTGCACGATAAAAGACCTAAAAGCACTAGTGGCCTTAGGTTCTTAAAGATAGCAAAAAAAGTAAACGGTCATGATACATATTCAAATTTATTTCTGAATAGTAAAATGAAAGTACTTCAGTTAACTGTGAATGTAGAATTTTTGACAGTGTTAGAAAGTGGCGAAAATTCTAAAAAGGCTATCATTATCCCTTATGGGCCAGGAAATACTACCGTGCCACCTTAAATACAACCAGGGTTAAAAGAAATCAAGTTTATTTATGCTAAAATTGTGGTTCTTGTCTCCCTTTTATTTAATATTTCCATCATTTAATGAGAAATTCTAATACTTTGAATTAAAGACTAGCGACATTTCCGAGTCAATTTTCCTTTTCTCTCAAATAGGTGGGACACAACGGACTTATCATGGGATACTATTTGTATTTAGGAATTTATAGTATCAACTTCTTCGACTGCTTATTTAACCTTTCAGTATTTGTCGTTTTTGTGGTCAACAATTTAATATAAAAATTCAAAAAGCATATTTTTTGTAGTCCATTTTTTTAATAGTTAAAGTATCTTAACAATCAAAACACAGGCGCTTGGGTGCAACAATTCAAGATTCAAGACTCAATATTTTATTATAGTCTCACCACATACAATTACATATATTTACACAAGAAAATATTCATACAGGTACATAAAACAGATAACAAGAAACATTACATTAAAATTGTATGTGCCAATCTTAAAAGATTTATGAGATACTGTACAAGCAATTTTTCTTTTTTGTGTGATTATTTTTATTTAGTAAATTTTCCATGTTCAATCTTCAATGCCTTGTAGAAAATAAGAATAGAGGTGCAGCATAAATATAACATTATCATTGTTATATCGTATGGATCATAAGAGCCAGGACACATTAAATAAGTTGATATATTTAGAATATTTACTACCAAAAAAATCAAAACCAAAAAGAAAAAAAAGAGAGGACTGTGCCCCCGGTTCTTGTGAATAAAAACTCAATTGTTCAAATATGTTATAAGATTTATAATATCATTTTCATTTAAAATAGGAACTCCCGAATGTCTTCGCGAAACTGTGGTAACTGATTATGCAGATGGTTCTGTCAAATTACAAGTTGACGTTTACAGTTCAAGTAACGTATCTTATAACTGGCTTGATTCGGAAGCGGAACTGCTTGTAAAACAGTCTCCAAAACACAAAGTAACAATAACTGAAAGTCAAACAATGGTAGAAATGTATAACCATCAAGTACAACTGAATTCAACCAACATTGTTTTGGAGATGTCAGGTGTTGATCAGCAAGACAGGAGAAGCTACATGCTTGAAGTGTCTAATGATTATGGGACAAGTTACTGTACAGTCATATTACCAGAAAGACGTAAGCGTATATAAGATACAACACAACAGAGTCACCTATAATAAAATCTTTAGTTTGACTTGGAAAATTTCGTTATGTGCCTTTTTCAAGTCAGACGCCTCAATCCAGGGGTCATAGTTAGTTGCCGTCATTCGTAATTATTTTTATTCTATTTTTTTAGGGGTAGCGGGTTTGTTTAAATAAGGCTAGAGTCTTATATAATATGGGTTAAGCTTATCGTCGAAAGCCATATGGTGAGCTGAAGTTGATTACATCCTCGTCCTGAGGTCAATGGAGGATTATTTTCTCACTCGCAACTATACCAAAATCTCCTGCTTTTTGATATTCATTCTAAAGAGATATAAGAAGATGTGGTATGAGTGCCAATGAGACAACTCTCCATCCAAGTCACAATTTGTAAAAGTAAACCTTTAAAAGTCAAAGTACGGCCTTCAACACGGAGCCTTGGCTCACACCGAACAGCAAGTTATAAAGGGTCCCAAAAATGACTAGTGTAAAACCATTCAAACAGGAAAACCAACGGTCTAATCTATATACAAAACGAGAAACGAGAAAACTAAAGATCTACATAAATGACTTTTCATATTTGAGAATTTGATTTAAAAGCTAGCAAATTTAAACTGTAGACTCAGCAGATTTTCGATACCCAACAAGGACAGAAATCAAAACTCATGTGGCTACAGTCGCTCTTGATTTTCGACAACTGACAATCTTGAGAACTAACAATACAGAATAATGATAATTGTCCGAAGCCTAGAAACGAAAAGGGATGAGGATTTCCCAAGCAATGCATTTGCTGATATAACAAATAACCAAGATTGATGAATAGTTTATTAATCTAATATATAAAGACAATTTAACACCGAAATCGCGGTATCTTCATCTGAAAATTTAAAACAGGAATGTTTAATAAAATTGAAAATAGACATGGGGAATGTGTCAAACAGACAACAACCCGACCAAAGAGCAGAAAACAGCCGAAGGTCACCAATGTGTCTTCAATACAGCGAGAAAATCCCGCACCCGGAGGCGTGCTTTAGCTGGCCCCTAAACAAAAATATGTACTAGTTCAGTAATAATGGACGTCATACTAAACTCCGAAATATATATAGAAAAAAAAAGAAACTAGAATTAAAAATTATACAAGACTAAGAAAGGCCAGAGGCTCCTGACTTGGGACAGGCGCAAAAATGCGGCATGGTTAAACATGTTTTTTGAGATTTCAACGCTCCCCCTATACCTCTAGCCAATGTAGAAAAAACAAACACACAGCAATACGCACAGTAAAACTCAGTTTAAAAGAAGCCCGAGTCCGATGTCAGAATAGATAACAGAAGAAACTAAAAAAAATGACAATGATTCATACATTAACAAAGGACTACTAGCAGTTGCTGACATTCCAGCTCCATACCTCTATTAAACTGATTGGAAGATTATGTCTTCATCATGTGAATATCAAGCACAATCCCTCCCGTTAGGGGTTTAGTGTCATATCATCATAAAATATATGAGAAGAACATAACCCGTATCATGCCTACAACTGGTTTTAGAATAAATGTGTTTATTTCCGATGCAAAGACCCTACAGGTGAATCAATATTAAAGCCAAAACATGCCATCTTTAATGACCTGACAACAGTATCGTAACTATATCTTTTCTTAATAATTTATATTCGAACTTCACTTTACGGGATGAGACTGGATGCTGGATTTGCACTTAAATTCCTCATAATATATTAGTTAGGTCAATGAAGGTGTTTGGCCTCAGTGCAATAAGCTAGTTTTAAAATACTCTTTCAATTTACATACTTAAAATTTAAACGTGAACGATTGTTTAAAAGTTTTTTTAAAATAACAAGAACTTTACACTTGTTGTAATAAAAAATAATTCTTAGCTGCTTTGAATGTGTACGAGACCAATTTATGAACCTTCTTACTGTCCTCTTGTCTCTAAATTCGTAAAGAAGGATAAAAAACGAAGTAGCGACTACTAACAGTACATAGAAATATTGTGTTTCAGCGTGGGATTCGTCAAATTAGTACGCGTGAAAATTTAAAGCTACATATTCATATTCGAACTCCACTTTACGGGAAGGGACTGGATGCTGGATTTGCACTAAAATTGCTCATAATATATTAGTTAGGTCAATGAAGGATTTTGGCCTCAGTGCAATAAGCTAGTTTTAAAATACACTTGCAATTTACATACTACAAATTTAAACGTGAACGATTGTTTAAAAGTTTTTTTTTTAAATAACAAGAACTTTATTCTTGTTGTAATAAAAAAATAATTCTTAGCTGCTTTGAATGTGTACGAGACCAATTGATGAACCTTCTTACTGTCCTCTTGTCTCTAAATTCGTAAAGAAGGATAAAAAACAAAGTAGCGACTACTAACAGTACATAGAAATATTGTGTTTCAGCGTGGAATTCGTCAAATCAGTACGCGTGAAAATTTAAAGCTACACTTGTTGATAAATGGTCACGTTTTTGCGGCAATATTTGAAATTGAATTAAATTTTTTATCTGGCAATGAATCGATACAATTAGAGTTTTTATTGCAACGTACCAAATGTTTAATACGATGAGCATTTTGGAAATAATGGGAACATTCGTTTTAATTTTTGAGAATATTTTTTTTTCAATCGCCTATTTAACATTAAACAAAAAGGAATGCCTATTTAGTGGAGTGCCTTTTTAACTAGCATGCGAAATATCGACCGATTTGTAGCAACAAAAACACTGAATAACCGGGTTTTGTTTTCATACACATGATACTTTTACTCAGATGCATAGACCCTATTTTGACACATATTTGTTGGTCGGAAACATTGAGCATAAGCAGCTAACACATATTTTCACGAGCGTTTCTGTTAATAAAGACAAACATCTAGATTAATTATATATTAAGTACTTGCATGTGCTCTATATTTGCGTGGCCAATAAACTAGTAATAATTTAAATGCAGAGTAATGTTTGAACCAATCAAGAAGAAGGATGACCAGTTACTCTGAAATATCCAGCTTAGACTAACCACATCACTATCAAAATGTACCCCAATTTCTTCTTTGAACAGACACTCATAAACTAACAATCTATCCAGTAAGTGTAGAATTCAATTTTGTGAATTATGTGAATTGTGAAATCAGAAATATTTTGATTCTAAAATCCGAAACGTAAATCATATGTAAAGAAAGATATATTCAAATCAAACATTGAAACTGAATAATATAAAATTAAAAAACAACTTACCAGTACCTAAACTAAACTAAAGAAATATTGTCCATACAAGGTTTAAATATATACGTCTGGACATCAAGTCTCTAACACGAAACAAATCCCCGCGAAAATTCAGGGACAATACCCTGGCTAAATATGATAGCTTAAAATTAAATAGAGGAATTGACACGACTCATAAACGTTACAAAATGTATTAAATTAAAAGAAATTACTCTAAGAAAAAATCATAAAAACTTAAAAAAATGAATCTCATCATTTTTCAAAAAATCAGTTTTTAAACTCATTCTATTGCGGAAAGAAATGGGTAAATAACTCAATTCAAACTTAATGATTGATTGATTATTTTGTGTTTAACAACACTTTCAACACTATTAGATATCTCTCACTCTCATATACGTTTTTCTTTTTCTCAAATTAAATTTTGTCCACTTTTAAATGAGTTTTGAATCATGAACTTAAAACTAGATAAGAAGGATACGCATTCCATCAGTTCAGTATGCTTATTATTAGGCCTTTTTACGCGCATGCTATTCTTAGTTGATAGTTGTGGGTAGGTAGTAAACCCCAATAGAGACAAGTGCCATGTTTTCCCTTACAACTGAGGAAACAAAACATGTATTGTTCATTCCAGTTTCAAAAACCAGAGGAAATTATTAATGCTTTAAAAAAATTTAATTTTACCAATTAATGTGTTCTCACATATTAACCTACTTGAAAAAAACAAATGCAGTTTCCTGAACTATACAATGAGACAACTGAAGGTTATATTTCCTATTCGAGTGCTACGAGGCTGGTCGTAGTCATTTAGAGAATGTTATAAAAATTCATGCAAACAACCTTTCTATGTATTTTCTACTTTATTTTCTTTCTTTATTCAGAATTTAATAATTTTATTAATAATCTATGCGGAAAAAAATGTTAAAATATAAGATGGCCATGCCAATCTAGTTTCGAACTGGAGAAGGGTAAATATTTCAACAAAAATACCTTCAAAATGAATCTGAAAATACTCAAATATTATTTATGTAAATTTTACCTATATGATTCAGAGGCACCAGAAATTTCCGTTATTCAGCTTGATAATGGTTCTTTGTTGTGTAATGCAACTGGTTTTCCAGATAACATAAGCTACTCAAGATGGGAACACAGATCACCAGAGCGAAAACACCTACGATATTTAAAAGGGACAGAAAAAGGAATTCTTAATTTTAACGCTTTGGACGGGAAAACTGGGCTTGATTCTACGTACAGTTTGGACGGGATCTATATTTGCAAGGTTGTGAATCACATGACAAAAGATGGAGACACAAATTTTCAAACTGGGTTTGCAAATGTTCTGTTTAAAGGTAATAACAAATATCAGTACGTTTAAAGTAAGCCTTTAACATAACATTAGCTCTATTACTAATATCTTCCATATATTACTGAAGAGATATGTTTTTCAAATCATAATTGAAGTATTAAGAGCCATGATGTCGTTATTAAATAGTTCATTTCTAAACTATGTTTCGAAAAAAAAGTAATCTTATAAATTATTCATGGTTTACCTTTATTCTAAAATCTAATAAATAATGTTTTCCAAGAGAATCATTTAAGACTAGCTGCGGAACCGTAGCTCATAGGTCCTTATTATAATTTTTGACAATTTGCGGACCAAAGAGCTACGGATTTTTCCTATTTCAAAACGTTCAGAATGGCGACCCAGATTCAGGTCGCACTTATTTCCCAAAAAAATCATTGTTTATCGCCTGTGCGTAGCTTGTCAATGTATATAGTTCGTTTCGTTAGATATTTTTCTTGGATATGACGTAATAATTTCTCCTTGCACTTTAAAAATTCGTGTTAATTAGTGTTTCAAAGCCTGGAAAACACAAATCCCGTTAAGTGACAAGTAAACAAACCAAAACGTGTTTTCCTATTCTGTAGGTGTTCTTCACCTCCCACATAGGAGATCGACGATATTAGGGTTATCTATTCTTGTTTTTCGTGACGTCACGACGATATTCAAAATGACTGAACAAAATAGGCGGGGAATGTATACAAAAGGAAACAAGCATTCTAAGAGTATTGCATGGCAATACATAGTCCCCTATTCATTGTACTGGAACAAAATGCTAACTTGATCTATAACTTGTCATGGTGTAAAGTTTATAACAAATATCAAGTCAATATTTTCAAGCATGACGAAAAAAAGTGTGGAAAACTGATTATTTGAGTGAATTTTCTAAAGTCCAAGGACCATAACTCTGCACAAAATCATTAGACCGGAACAAAATTCGAACTTGATCTGTAACTTGTCATGATAAAACTAAATACCAATTATTGAATCAATATCTTCAAGCATGACAAAAAAAGTGCGGAAAACTGATTATTTGAGTGAATTTTCTAGGTCCAAGGACCATAACTCTGCACAAAATCATCAGACCGGAACAAAATTCGAACTTGATCTGTGACATGTCATGATAAAACTATATACCAGTTATTAGATAAATATATTTAAGCATGACAAAAAAAAGTGCGGAAAACTGATGATTTGAGTGAATTTTCTAAGTCCAAGGACCATAACTCTGCACAAAATCATCAGACCGGAATATAATTCAAACTTGATTTGTAACTTGTCAGGATAAAACTATATACCAAAATTTAAATCAATAACTTCAAGCACGAAGAAAAAAAGTGTGGAAAACTGATTTGCCGGACTGACGGATGGACAGACAGACAGACAGACAGACAGACAGACAGACGAACGGAGTGCAAACCTAGAGTCATCTTCGACTTCGTCGGTAGGGGACTAATAATTAAATAATAGTGTCAAGGAAATGAATATTCAAACATAAATAGGTAAGTTATATCCTAGAAAATATCTAACGACACGAACTATATATATTGACAAGCTACGCACAGGCGATAAACAATATTTTTTTGAGGGGAATAAAGTGCGACCTGAACCTTGGTCGCAATTCCGAACGTTTTAAAATAGGAAAACTCCGGTCTATGATTTGCAAATATGGCTTTGTTTAAACTCTTCTAGTTCATATATTAGAAACAGGGTGGGGGTATAAAATGTACTGTTAAAGAAAATTTAGAGTATATGTAGTGATTCCTTTTAGGCTTTAATTCTGATAAATAAGTATTGTTGTGAGAAATTGGTTTTCAAGCGTTTTCTATTTTAATAAATGTTTGCATAGGTTGCACTTTGTAAATACAGCTGTTTCACAAGCCACGCCTCTTTTGGGGAGATATATAATATTCATAGATATTTAATTTTGTTTACGTACTGGTTCCCAGATATGATCTCTATGTTTTATCTCTTAGAGAAATAACTTGGGAATGTTACCAGTATAAAAACAGATGGTAGCGCGAATATTGAATTCTGAGGGACACCCAAAGTGGAGGTAGGGATAGTACAGAATTTTAGTATAAGTCTGAACTCTTAGAAGTTCGGGTCATATAAATGTTGAAAATATGCCGCACAGCCCTATGTTTTGACCTTTGAATAAAAAAGTAGTGCATATCAACTTTTCGTTCAAGGATATAATTTTTTTCAAAACTTCATAGTAAAAATGGCACAGCTTTAGCCGCAAAAGGAGTTCCTATGGGAAATTGCATTGTCTATATTTACAGAAGTGCAACCTATAATGACCTTAATATCAATTAAAAATAATTAAATACAATTGAAATTGAAAACAAAACGAAACCAAACAAAACAAAACAAAACAAAATTGAAAACAAAACGAAACCAAACAAAACAAAACAAAACAAAACAAAACAAAATAAAATAAAACAAAACAAGAAATAAACAAACAAACAAAAGAAATAAAACCAAAGTATAAATCTAACAAATCGTGCACTAAAAATACTATCTTACTGTTGGAAGTATCCATTGATACTGGAACGGATCCATCATCAAATCCTAACTCATCATCACAGTATAATATGATTTCTCAATCTTTTTATTTAGAGTTCGTATAGAATCCAATAAATTTGTTCGTTTTACATGCATGCTTATATTATTATAGTATGTATATTATCATATTGTAATCTGTCGAAGACTAAATAAGTATGATTTACGTGTGTCTCATCCATTTTACTTCGATTTAGCAAATACAATATGTTCAAACTAGATCCGTGTTTAATACATAGTACATGCTTTTCATAGTTTTGTTCAAAGGGATAAATCAAGTATAGTTTTAAAGATAATAATCAAATGATTTTGAATGAAAAAATATATTATGATTTAGAATTATATTTGTGTGTACGACACGTGTGCTGATAAAATTTAAAATACAACCAGGGTTAAAAGATATCAAGTTGTAGCCTTTTCATCTAAATTTGGGTTTTTAATGTAAAATTAGAATAACAGGTAAAAAAGCTTTTGTGAGACCTCGAAATTGAAAGTATTATCCTTTTTCTTTTATTTAACTATTGTTAATCAATAAAAAATCACAAAAAAATAATTGTACTTTGGTACTGGCTGTTATCAAAGGGAGACAATTCAATCTCAATCTTAATTTGTTTTAATCACAGGAGAGATAAATCTTGTTACATGAGGAGTTATCTCATCAACTATAGTCTATTTTTTTAAACATCTTCTAGGTATTTAGTTTGCTTACCCGTGTTTTATAATTAGTTCCTCACATTGGAACCGCAAAGTAAACTTTAATAAAAAGCCTTAATATTTATTTGCTATGTAATCTTTGTGGATTTAAAAAAAAAGATTCATTATAGGGTAATAAGGGCGCCTTCAAATAAATAGGCAAGAATGACAATTTAAGACATTGAATTATTAAAAATTCAATTGAGTGTATGAAAGTCTGAATCTTTTTCAATTTATTCTATGGAAAATTTTAAAAGTGACTATGAATTTATTGCAAGATTATTTATTGAAAGAGTACATTTTTATTATTTTGACAACACATTTGTGAAGAGATATTTTGTATTGTTCTTGTATGCGTTGAGGCCATATATATATATATAGTTGACAGTAAAAAATACGCATGGGAGTTAAAAACGAGATGTGTTAAAAAAAAAATGGCCATTATTAAAGCAAAAGTCCTGACTCGTAATTTTTGCATATAGGAAACAAATCAGGTAGTATAATATATTTTGTAGCCAAATGGTGGGTTGTTAATGGGTGCGAGTCATTGTGACACTGATAAGGGGGTGGACAGAATTATGGGAACTATGGAATGAGAGGGCTGGAATTGGGAATTGGATAGATGAAAGCTGGAGTCAGGGTGGTGTTAACCGTGAGGAAAGGGTTGTTATAACTGGGATAATTCATGTTGACGAAAAAATAGGAGTGCAGAGGAACAGAATACGGAGTGAAGTAGGAGTTTGGGGAGGGAACTGGGAATCAATGATCCCTGTCCACCTCCTTACTGATAGCCAAAAAAGAAGAGGGGTTGGGGTCATGTATGTAGAAGGAGCAATTCTGCAGGGGATGCGGACCACAGCTTGTTCTAGTTTGTGAACTGATAAATAAGAAGTCCGATTGGTGCCTAATGTAATAGCGCTATCTAAATAAAAGAAAAAAAACTAAAAAAAAACAATGAAAACAATATATAATTTATTCAATAAGTACAATTTGTATCATGTAGACCAAAAGTAATGGAGCATTGAATGACTGCAATAATTATCCGTTTTAAGAACGCATATGGCAGGAGATTTTGGAAGATCACAGCTTCCCATGGTTGGACTGAACGTCAGTCCACAGACAATTCATCGATGATGATGGAAGTTTAAAACCACCTTGACTGGCTATATAGCCTTCGCCTAGTCAGCCCTGCAAAGCGCCTTCAAGTTTTAATGTTTTTAAAGAAATTAATTCGGTATTATAATTCCAAACAACTTATATAAAATGATTAAGTCTTTCAACGAAGATTATAAATGATTAGCAAGGATGCAAATACTAAACTTTAGAACCTAAATAAATATCTTTAACAAATGAATTCAAACTAGCAATATCTATTCAATTTAACAAATATGTACTGAATAAGTGTCATGTAAATCGTTAAATATAGAAACACGCAATTTATATTTTTTAAACAAGGGAAATAACAATTACTTGATAATCCTATCTGCCAAATGTATTTAGAAACAATTTGTTTTATAAACAATTACTAATTAGAAAAAAAACACACACACACACTGAAGATAACATGTGTTTTAGTTGCAACAACTTTATTGTTAATAAACAACTGCCAACCTGACAAGAAACAAACACTGGTTTGGAACAAACTATACACTACGAACGACAACTCGACCTAGTATGTTACTCTTATTTGTTGATAATATAAACAAAAATTGATTTAAAAAAAAGCGGTAATATGTAGCATTTATTAAAAATCAGAATGCCGTAGTAAAAATAATCAGGAAATTGATCTGCTTTGCCGCCCGGAGATGCCGATAAGTGAACTTGTACAAAATCATGTTTTCAGGGTAAGTGATCAATTGTCCTTGCCAAAATAACAATTGATTCAGGTATCTAACATTGCTAACATATATGTATACCACGATAATACATTGATAATACTGTCTTGTTAAATATACCTTATTGTCAAAGAATGCAGCAATAGTGTCGTCATCGACGGCCAAAGAAAAAACCATGATGATAAAGCATGCAATTCCGGAAATTGACCGTCTCCGAAAATATTAAATTCTAAAATTGAGTTATCGTCCTTTTCGCGCCAGACGACTATTGAAAAGGCTAGATTATCAAGTTTATTTATGGTAAAATTGTGTTTCTTGTCTCCCTTTATATTTAATATTTCCATCATTTTATGATAAATTTTAATACTTTGAATTAAAGACTAGCGACATTTCCGAGTCAATTTCTCTCAAATAGTTGGGACACAACGGACTTATCATGGGATACTATTTGTATTTACGAATTTATAGTATCAACTTCTTCGACTGCTTATTTAACCTTTCAGTATTTGTCGTTTTTGTGGTCAACAATTTAATATAAAAATTCAAAAAGCATATTTTTTGTAGTCCATTTTTTTAATAGTTCACTTTTAAATCAGGTGCAAGGATTCAAGATTCAAGATTCAATATTTTATTATAGTCTCACCACATACAATTACATATATTTACACAAGAAAATATGCATACAGGTACATAAAACAGATAACAAGAAACATTACATTAACATTGTATGTGCCAATCTTAAAAGATTTATGAGATACTGTACAAGCATTTTTTTCTTTTTTGTATGATTATTTTTATTTAGTAAATTTTCCATGTTCAATCTTCAATGCCTTGTAGAAAATAAGAATAGAGGTGCAGCATAAATATAACATTATCATTGTTATATCGTATGGATCAGAAGAGCCAGGACACATTAAATAAGGGAAAATAAGTTGATATATTTAGAATATTTACCACAAAAAAAATCAAAACCAAAAAAAAAAAAGAGAGGACTTTGCCCCGGTTCTTGTGAATAAAAACTCAAATGTTCAAATATGTTATAAGATTTATAATATCATTTTCATTTAAAATAGGAACTCCCGAATGTCTTCGCGAAACTGTGGGAACTGACTATGCAGATGGTTCTGTCAAATTACAAGTTGACGTTTACAGTTCAAGTAACGTATCTTATAACTGGCTTGATTCGGAAGCGGAACTGCCTGTAAAACAGTCTCCAAAACACAAAGTAACTATAACTGAAAGTCAAACAATGGTAGAAATGTATAACCATCAAGTACAACTGAATTCAACCAACATTGTTTTGGAGATGTCAGGTGTTGATCAGCAAGACACGAGAAGCTACATGCTTGAAGTGTCTAATGATTATGGGACAAGTTACTGTACAGTCATATTACCAGAAAGACGTAAGCGTATATAAGATACAACACAACAGAGTCACCTATAATAAAATTTTAAGTTTTGGAAAATTTCGTTATGTGCCTTTTTCAAGTCAGACGCCTCAATCCAGGGGTCATAGTTAGTTGCCGTCATTCGTAATTATTTTTATTCTATTTTTTTAGGGGTAGAGGTTTTGTTTAAATAAGGCTGGAGTCTCATATAATATGGGTTAAGCTTATCGTCGAAAGCCATATGGTGAGCTGAAGTTGATTACATCCTCGTCCTGAGGTCAATGGAGGATTATTTTCTCACTCACAACTATACCAAAATCTCTTGATTTTTGATATTAATACTAAAGAGATATAAGAAGATGTGGTATGAGTGCCAATGAGACAACTCTCCATCCAAGTCACAATTTGTAAAAGTAAACCATTAAAAGTCAAAGTACGGCCTTCAACACGGAGCCTTGGCTCACACCGAACAGCAAGTTATAAAGGGTCCCAAAAATGACTAGTGTAAAACCATTCAAACAGGAAAACCAACGGTCTAATCTATATACAAAACGAGAAACGAGAAAACTAAAGATCTACATAAACGACTTTTCAAATTTGAAAATTTGATTTAAAAGCTGGCACATTTAAACTGTAGCCTCAGCAGATTTTCGATACCCAACAAGGTCAGAAATCAAAACATCATGTGGCTACAATTGCATGTATAGAATATCTATATAAAAGTCAACGCTTATTCTTACGATAGAGAACAAAATGATACTGTATATAAAAGTTAAGAAAAGAACGACATATATTTAATAACTTTTCATTAAGAAAAAAAGAAACGTAAATTCAAATGATGAAAGGATTTATGGGTAAATAAATCGAATCTCAAATACCCCTCTTCAGTATGAATGATACATGATTCAAACATTGAAATCCTGAATGTCGTTCGCCCTTAATTAACAAAGCAATTATGATTGGGAGGATTGAATGCGTTCGGAAATCTTGAATTTCATAGACATTCATTATCATCAGATATACTATAAGCTATGATTAAAACCTATTTACTCATTTAAATTGTTATCTTTGTAACCATAACTATAACCGTAACTGTACACAATGCATGTATTGCTCCACCCACACCAATTATCCTTAAACTTAAATGAGGCCCATGCAGTACTCAATAATTACCATATTTTAATAAATTATTTGATGAGACTAATGTAAATAGTTTTTTAAATCTTAGTTGTATAATAACGATAACTGTTATCTTTTCCGAAAAATATTGTTAAAACGTTATCAAAAGAAAAAAGTAAAATCGAGATCTACTTTTTATAGGCGTAGCTTGTCCTGTTTTGTGATGTTTTGCAAATGAAATAGTGTGATGTTTAATAATTCAACAACAGAACCTATTAAAAACTATTATAAACATACTGCCCTTGGATGAAGGTGTTAAGATAGATTTACATACAAGGGAAAAAAAATATCAACCAAGACGCGGGTGATAATTTTTACACTGAGTGTGTTAATCACCCGAACACGTTCATCCAAGGGCAGTATGTTTTTTTTATTATACTGAATGCCTTATGATTCAAGTGTTCACTATGTTATTAGAAGGACAAAAAAAAAGATAAATTCATAAATTAAGATAGTTTACAAATAACAACAACAAAACGACGGAAATGAGGTAAAAACAAGAATCGGTAAACCTCGGCCAGAGCGGGTGTTAAGAAATTGTTCCGAATCGGCAAACTTCGGGCTCAGCGGATTTTTATTTTAGGCATTAACACCCGTTGCCAATATTATCACATGTTGCTATGGATGGGTGGGGCTTATGAGAGGTTAATGAAAATTAACAAATGCCGCGTGTCAAATGAAATGAATGGATGATATAAGAATTTTGCATAAAGTATAATAAAACAGATTGTCATAGTTAAGTTAATATCTCTTAAACCATGTTAAACATGTAAGACTCTCATTAGAGCTTTGTTACAAGTGTAACCTTTAATTTCACTATGTACATGTATATCTTCCGGACCATATGAGTATTTGGACCATACGCGTATGGTGATGACCATATGCGTATATACTCATATAGTCCGACCATACGCGTATGGTCCGGTTAATTAACACGATCAAAAGGTGTCCCATAGATTAGGAGTTTATAAAAATGATTTTTTTTTACTTATCCAATCAAATTGTAATCATTGTTACATGATTAATGAAATAAAGTGAATTTTACTTACAGGTAAGAATTATAGTAAAACCATTTTTACATGGTCATTATTGATTTGTCCTTACATTTGTACGAAACTCTATATGTCGACTTATGAAAATAACTTCTAGAAATATCTAAATGAACTGTAAAACAAGAAGTCAGTTGCTTAACTCACAGGAATTTTGTTCATTGAACCCTCTTTCTTTCCTTTTAAAAAAAAATATTGTGTTTTTATTAAATTGAAATGTCTTAGATAATGTGTTTTTGATCCTATTTATACGATCTTACAATAACAGAAAAATCGTACGAAAAGGAGAAAGAACACAACAATTATGTGAAAATAAGTTGATATTAGAAGGAATTGTGTTTCTGAAAAAATAATTTAAACACTAAGAAAAAAGAAAACTGGAGGCTCTCTAGAGCCTGTGTCCCTCACCTGGATCTACTGTGGTTTTGGAAATCATGTAAAATACGGTTAAAATCATAAAAGATACCCTTATAATGATTGAAGCCAAGTTTGGTTTTATTTGGCCCAGGAATTAAATTAAAAGCAGAAGATTTTTGAAAAAAATTACAAAAATTACCAATAAATTGCAGAAAATGACTTTAAAGGACAATAACTCCAATAAGATGTCAATTGCCAATTTTGGTCATGTTGATTTATTTGTAGATCTTTTTTTGCTTGATATTTTTGCTGTTTACAGTATATCTCAATCTATAATGATATTCAAAACAATTAACAAAAAATTGCATCCCCCCTGGAAAAAAATCAAGTCATCCCATTGTAGTCTTACAGTTACTGAAGACCCCTTATCATTATTTAAATTAGTTTTCAAGTTGTGACCATTTGAAATTGTTTTTTTTACATTTTTCCCATAGACTTCTATAGTAAACACCTATATTCTATTTTTACCCATGACGACCATGTTGGTTGTAGGGCAGGGTCATCAGATACATTTTTCAATCAAGATACTCTAATAATAATTGTGTGGCCAAGTAGATTAAGAGGAGAAGATTTTTGTAAAAGATCGAAAAATACTTAAAATAGTGTAAAAGCGCAATAACTCCTTAAGGGGTCAATTGAAAATTTTGGTCATGACTTATTTGTAGATCTTACTTTGCTGAACATTTTTGCTGTTTACAGTTTATCTCTATCTATTATAATATTGAAGATAATACATGTAACTAAAAACTGCAAAATTTCCTTAAAATTACCAATTCAGGGGCAGCAACCCAACAAGGGGTTGTCTGATTCGTCTGAAAATCTCAGGACAGATAGATTTTGACCTGATGAACATTTTTATCCCAGGCGGAAACCCAGTTGAAATTAAACAAAAGAAATGGAACTCTTTGTTAGAGAAGGTAAAAAAGCAAAATTGGTATATTTGAATTGTTTACATTTAGCGCTATAAAACCAGGTTCAATCCACCATTTTCTACATAAGAAAGTGCCTGTTCCAAGTCAGGAATATGACAGTTGTTGTCCATTCGTTTGATTTGTTTGTGCTTTTGATTTTGCCATTTGATTAGGGACTTTCCGTTTTGAATTTTCCTCGGAGTTCAGTATTTTTGTGATTTAACTTTTTACATCTGTTTCTATGGGCTTTAAAAGTTTAATAAAGGTGCATAATTTAGGATTTTATGCATCTTAGATACGTGTTTTTATTTGAATTATAGCATGCAGCTTCAAGATATTTGTAAACTTTTAAATTATAGACAAATTTTCATAAAACAGTCGATTGTGGCAGGTTCAAATCCAAGTGGATCTCTTTTGTGCATAAGCATAAATTCCGCCGAAAAAAATTCCACAGAAATATAAAAGATTAATCTTTCTAAAGCATTAATTTTCATCTCTGCCCCCGGCGAATGTTTTTTTGGGGAAAAAATCCAAAAAATGGGCAACAATTGCATCGAAAAGGGAAAGTCGAGTGCACCTTTTTATGTTAGGGTGTGTTTGAGTTGAATATTCTGTCTTGAAAACGTACAAAGCAAAAATATTTGATACATCATCTAGCTTAAGATTATATCATTTTTATATATTAAAGCTACAATTTGATTTTATAACATCAAAAATTCACAGTACTAAAAAATGAAATATATAGGTCAAGTGAAATACCTTTCTAATCAGTCACAACGACAGAGTAGGTGTGTTCGAATAACAAATATTTTACTAAAAGTGCTTTTTGTGTGTGATATCTAGGGTTTATAGTATTCAACCTCTGAAAATATTTAGTCTGCCCTTCCACGAAATATTTATATAGGATTTTTTTTAAATGTTTTTGAATTTTCGAAAAATATCACCTGGCAACCGATCAGACAAAAGTTTTAAGTTGATTGAATGCAGAAAAGTACATTAAATGACGCTCAATAGCTAGTAGATACATTTGTCTTTTAAAATACAACTGGCATATAAGGATCGTAATGGTGCTATGTGGATAAATATATCGGTTTTCAAGAGCTAAATTGGCAGCGCGTCATCCGTACAATGGCTTCCATTTCTACGGTTGTAAAAATTACCAGGCGTAATTGGGAGATAATTTTGACAAAGTAGAATCCTGACTGTCTCCCATGTCAGATTTGCTCTAAATGCTTTAGTTTCAGAGATATAAGCCAAAAACTGCAGTTTACCCCCATGTTCTATTTTTAGCCATGGCGGCCTTTTTTATTTGGTGGGCGGAATCATTGGATACATTTTATAAACTAGATACTCTAAGGATGATTTAGGCCAAGATTGGTTTAATTTTGCCCAGTAGTTTCAGAGGAGAAGATTTTTGTAAAAGATTACAAAAATTAACGAAAAATTGTGAAAAATTTATTTTAAGGGCAATATTTCCTTAAGGAGTCAATTGCAAATTTTGGTCATATTGACTTATTTGTAGATCATACTTTACTGAACATTCTTGCTGTTTACAGTTTATATCTATCTATAATAATATTGAAGATAATAATCAAAAACTGCAAACTTTTCTTAAAATTACCAATTCAGGGGCAGCAACCCAACAACGGGTTGTCTGATTTGTCTGAAAATTTGAGGGCAGATAGATCTTGACCTGATGAACAAATTAACCCCATGCCATATTTGCTCTAAATGCTTTGGTTTCAGAGATATAAGCGAAAATCTACATTTTACCCCTATGTTTTCTAATTTTAGCCATGGCGGCTATCTTAATTGGTGGGCGGGGTCTTTGGATACAATTTATAAACTAGATACCCTAAGGAACATTCAGTTAAAGTTTGAAGGTATTTTGCCCAGTAGTTTCAGAGGAGAAGATTCTTTAAATAGTTGACGACGACGGCGACGAAGACAGACGACGGACAACGACGGACGCCAAGTGATGGCATAAGCTCACATGATCCTGTGGACCATGCCTAAAACGCCTATGGATCATTCTCTTACTGACGAAAAAGTCGACGAGATAAAACGCTCTAAATTCATTCTAGCGAAAGCAAGATAACATATTCACCAAGATTCAGACAATATGTAAAGATAAAGAAATCAGTTATAAACTCGTGCCGGTTTGGATTCGGAGAATGAGCTGTGTTCTCCAGCGAAGGAAGTTGGAATTTATTTGAAAAATACCTATATGGTCTAAATACTCATATGGTCTGGCCCGTTAATAACCAAACGAATATAATACTCACATGGTCCGACCATACGTGTACGCGTAGGGTCCAAATACTCATATGGTCCGGAACATATATAAAGATTCCAATTACATTGGGTAAGTTCTCAGTCGAATATTTGTATCAATTCAAAATTTGATTAACCTCTTCCTTTACTATTATCATTACATATTACCCTTTGTGGTTTTAGATTATTGTAAGAATGCATGCAAGTCTATATCCTAAAGCAATTCTGAACACATATATTTTAAACTATCATGTATACGTATGCATGTATGATTATAAGCTAAATTATGCTTATCAATCATTACTATTTACATATTTCTCTAATTCTATAGCAATTTAACCCTTTCCGGACCCGATGATCTCAGAAGATGATTGGATGAGTTTAAGGGTCATAACCTTTATCAGCTCACTGAATGAATCAAAGTGTGCGGAGTTAATGAAACTCACAACTTTGTAGAATGTGGAAGGCAATTGAATGGGATTTTCGTTTATCAAAAATATAAAATTTATTAGATAATCATTAGAGAAACAGATTCTTACAAAGGTACTCGTGGATTATCGGATTTATCCACTCGAGATAGTTAAATTATCGAATTTAAAGTCCGAGCCTCGGCGATGGCTTTAAACTTGATAATTTAAATATCTCATATACATATACTTAACATATACTCAAGCTTTACGTATTTCAAGGGATATGTCGAGATTCAAAGGGACTTCGTTTCTGAAAGACATTGTATAGCTGTATTTTCTCAAAGTAAGTCAAGTTTTCTTTTGAAAGCGTCTTATCATTTTCTAATATTTTTTATAGGAACAGTAAGCAGGAAGTTCGACAAAGTCAAGTTAACAATAATATCATGCTGTAGCGCTGGTTTTGTACTAGTGGTTATTGTTATTTTTTTTATGAAAATTGGAAAACATAGAGGTATGTTGTCTTCGTTAGTATCAATCAATTGTCTCAATTAGTATAAACCAATTGTCTACATTATCATTTATTTGTATATTTTGTTTGTAAAGGAATATATATATATATATACTGACATATAACAATCAATAACTTGAAAACTAGATGTATATATACACAGGCAAAAATTGCTCACGTGAAATTCACGTAATTTTCATGTGAGATTCACCTCAAACGCGCTTATACATGAAACTCACGTGAAAAAATTCATGAATTGAGATTCACATGAATCTCACGGGGAAATTTTTCACATGAATTTCACGTGCACTTTTCAAAAAAAAATAGGTATTTTTCATGATTTTGATTTAATTTGAAAATTTAGATGTTATTTGAATTACGTTATTTTAAAAATTTACATGAATTTCACATGAAAAAAATTCTTGTGATTTTCACGTGAAATTCACATAAGATCCACGTGAAACTCACATGAACTGATTTACGTGAGAATTCACGTGAATTTCACGTGAGATTCACATGAATTTAAATTCACGTGAAATTGATGTGAGTGAAATTTCCCTGTGTAGGATAATATATCTAAAACCTATAAAAAATAAATATAAAATTATATATAATTGATATTGTGGTCCTTGTCTCCAGAGGGACCCGTAAACGAAGATCACACGGTTATATACAATGTATCAATAACATAATCACAGACAGAATCAATCTTCTGTCAAATTTGAAAATCTTTTTAATATCTTTTAAAAAAAATAACAGGACATCGTCCACTCAGTTTCAATATTTCTATCTATTCAGATTGATATATCCTTTGTCTGTCTCCATCACGAAAGTATTCAAGATATTTGATATGTTTTAAAACTCAAATATGTTATCTGATTATAAATAAATCTAGTTTATGGAATAATTATAAGGTTTAAACACTTGTGCCTTCGTACTATTTTAATACTTAACGATCTATTCTATCTTGCACCTACAAAAAGCGTTTTTGATTATTTAATTTCAAATTAAAGTTTGGAGCTATTTAAATTTTATACATAATACGTTTTGGACATTGCAGAACAGCAACTGCTTTTAGTGTAGGACGGCATATAAGCATGCTAAATAATTCGAGCCTTCAATAACTATACAGTCAGTTCATATTTTATCCACATGCAATTGTCGTCGTGTTCTAATAGTAAAATACATATATGTTGTTGGTATAATTATTTTTCATTGAAGAAATACATTTTCCTTATACCATAAAATGTGTTTATCTTGATGTTGATTGGTTAAACATTTATCTTTAAGTTTCTAAGAAAACAGAAAAGAGGAAAGAAATGTTCTACCACAGACATGAGAAACAGTTTAATACATATTCCACGGCGGTAAGTAATAAAACCCGACTACAAAAAAAATGTATACTAACAATCAATTTGTGTTTTATTCAAACTAAAATGCAAATTAAATACGCATGTATCAAGAACATAATCATTATATAAAACATGTTTTCTGTGGGAGAAAAAAACACACATCTTGTTTTATGATAGCACCTTCACTGCAATGTTAAAAAATAGGCGAAGAGGACATCGAAGGGCCTTTAAAAACCATAAGTTGAAGAAAAAACAGACAACGCATGCATGCCCAAATGAAAAATCCCCAGACAAATGAAACATAAAAAATCACACTTAATTTCCTGCTCCACTAGAAGCACCAGTCGTGTTACTGGCAAGTCAAAAATCAAGTGTTAAATCGAAGAAGGAAATAGTGTCTACTGTCCAACAAATCAATATTCTCTTTTTCAGAGGATGAGAAATGAAGTATTCGAAGAGGTGACACTCAACAGGGATGAATGTGACAAGGGAAAACGATTTACAATATGTTCCGTAGTACAAGACGTTTAGCAGCTGGTGCATATTAGGTTTAAAACTGTAATTACTAGTTGCTTGTCCATTAAGCAACCTAAGTTTGTTTATGTTCTATTCATCTTCGAACATGGATAATTGAAGAAGAAAACAACTTGTGGCAGCTTATTTTACATTCCACCATCTACCTACTGTTATCTGGTTACACACACTGTTTTTGTTTAATAATTAAAAAAGTGTCTCATTATTCGTTAAATAAATATATTTTCCTAGTCCATCCTATACAGGTGGTGGTATACTTTTTGACCATAATAGTTATTAAATTTTCACTAATCGATTGTTAACCATATTGAATTATTTTTGCCCGCCTATGTTAGGGAGAATGGGGACAATACGTGTTCCAGTCTGTGCAACCGATCATCCATTGTTCATTCGGCCGTCCCATATCAAGTGCATGTTTTGATTAACCATGAAGTTATGGTCATATTAACTAGAAACCAATTACACATGTTCATTATGATGTGCTCTTTTTGAAAACTGCTAGAAAATAGAAATGATTTACATTCTAAAAAGGGATATTTACATATATATATATATATATACAACTCGTCTAAACATCAGCCCAACAATGTTAGATCTGTAAATTTGATTTCGCAAATTTTTTGTTCTCCCCTCGCCGAGATTCGAACTCATGCTACTGAGATATCGTGACACCAAATCGCCTGCAATGTATCCGACGCGCTAGACCACACGACCACCTAGTCTTCAAAAATAAAGCTTTCGGTGGCCGGGTGTTACCTTTCCTCGTCAGTTTTAATCTAGCGTCGTAATACAGTACATGATATATAAGGCATGAAGATGGAATTGTTACAGATCAGCTGAGATATCTATTGTAAAGGATCCTACAAATGAATGCAAGATACAGTCACAGAAATAATTATATTTATAAGTACGTCTGAACCAGTAACAACTCTACACCAGATTTATCCATCGGATCACCAGCAGTGATGGTGATACATGGCTGTGTACATTCTGTATATACAACTCGTCTAAACATCAGCCCAACAATGTTAGATCTGAAAGCAAATTTTTTGTTCTTCCCTCGCCGTGATTTGAACTCATGCTACTGAGATATCGTGACACCAAATCGCCTGCACTGTATCTGACGCGCTAGACCACACGACCACCTAGGCTTCAAAAATAAAGCTTTCGGTGGCCGGGTGTTATCTTTCCTCTTCAGTTTTAATCTAGCGTATATAAATTTAGCATGAGACAAAAAATCATGTAATACTTGAAACGACGCTTTTGCAAGTTTTTTTTATTCATCTTAACAGTGGCTGAAAGAACTTCTTCGATGAACAATGATTTCATGAATGAAAAGATTTAACCGACAATCAATTAAACTAGGAATTTTCTGATAATTTCTGCTACTCCTATAAGAATACATTACGAATTCTGCAAAGTTGTCTTATTTGTAGATCCTGTCTTTCTAATTGTTTGATTTTTGATTTTTGATTTTTGGTGTTTAAACGCCACTTTTAAGCACCGCTTTTGGGCTATTTCGTGGCGGCCAGTTTTTATTAGTGGAGGAAGCCGGAGTGCCCGGAGAAAACCACCGACCTTCGATAGGAAAACTGACAACCCTAGTCAATTAAGATTGGAGTCGAGTGCACCCGCACGAGCGGGGTTCGAACTCACAACCTCAGTGCATGTTGACTGGCTAGTGATTACAGTAGTAGAACTACTTAGACCACTAGGCCACCGAGGCCCCTCCTTCTAATTGTTAGTGCTGTTTATATTTTTCCTCTATCTACTATAGTTTCTGCAGAAAACACAAAAAAATCGGCAAAAAATCGTCTCCCAACGGCAATAACTCCTATGAGTGGACGAATGACAATTTAAGCGATGTTGAATTATTGTAAACGTTGTCCTGCAGACCAAATTGTTGTTTACTATACTACTGTAGGGTTGTTTAACTACCTTTTATCTCATGGACAACAACTTCTATAAATAGTCGACTTAGAATTTCGGCCATGTTGTCTAATGTGTAAATCTTGACAAGTGTCCTTAAGATTATTATTACTGTTTACATTTTATCTATTTGCTGTAGATCAAAGAAAAACACACAAAATGGGTAAATTTCTTTTTTCAAAAGCAATAAATCCAACAATGAGTCGACTGACATTTTCAACTACGAAGACTTATTTGTAGATCATTTCCTGTTGATCATTCTTGCAATAGTCTATTTTCCAATTCCGTAATTGACCCAGTAATTAGAAACCCATTTTGTGAGTTGTTTTCATTGGCAATGAAGAGCTAGAGGAAAGAGCAAATTTATGTGTGCATCATGTGTATACTATTAAAGTTTTTCAAATCTTTTAATTACATTTAATCTTTTGTTAAGCTAAAAACTTTTCATAAAAATAGTTTTTTTTAATTAAAAATTGTATATATATTTGTTTTAAAAAACACCTATATATCGATTTCAACAGATGCTTCGCGTGGGCAGCAACCCGTTTTATCCGGTGTAGAACCAGGTTACAATTGGCAAAGATAAACAACTTGTATCATGCATAAAGATACATAATGAAATGACAGACGTGAGTTAATGTGTTTATCAGGGCGATAACCAGATCCCTAGTTAGATGTTAGATCTGTAAATTTGCTTTCGCAAATTTTTTGTTCTTCCCTCGCCGGGATTCGAACTCATGCTACTGAGATATCGTGACACCAAATTGCCTGCACTGTATCCAATAAATCCAATAATGAGTCGACTGACATTTTCAACTACGAAGACTTATTTGTAGATCATTTCCTGTTGATCATTCTTGCAATAGTCTATTTTCCAATTCCGTAATTGACCCAGTAATCAGAAACCCATTTTGTGAGTTGTTTTCATTGGCAATGAAGAGCTAGAGGAAAGAGCAAATTTATGTGTGCATCATGTGTATACTATTAAAGATTTTCAAATCTTTTAATTACATCTAATCTTTTGTTAAGCTAAAAACTTTTCATAAATATAGTTATTTTTCATTAAAAATTGTATATATTTGTTTTAAAAAACACCTATATATCGATTTCAACAGATGCTTCGCGTGGGCAGCAACCCGTTTTATCCGGTGTAGAACCAGGTTACAATTGGCAAAGGAAACAACTTGTATCATGCATAAAGATACATAATGACATGACAGACGTGAGTTATTGTGTTTAGCAGGGCGATAACCAGATCCCTAGTCGTTATTAATATTTTAAAACTATAGATGATACTATAGGCATTGACCCACTGCATTATTTGTTGTATAGAAATAACATTATTTTACTATCAACATTTTCCAGGAGATCTACAAAAGAAACTTGATTTACTTAATCAATATTTTAATGACTGGTGTCAAGTTATGTAAGAACACCAACACAACAAAGGAAGGTAGAAAAGAGGAGGAAGATACCAAAAGGATATTCGAACTCCTAAGTCGAAGACAAACTTACAACGCCATGGCCACTAATTGACAAAATGACAAACAAAAGTATACTAAACACTACTTACAAAACTAAAGGCTGAGCTACACGAACCCACCATATACCGGGGGTGATCTCAGGTGCTCCGGAAGGATAATCAGATCATGCTCCACATGTGGCACCCGTCGTGTTTTTCATGTAAGTACAAACTCGGGGATGTCACATTCTAGGACGGGAAAGTGATTACGACGATAAGAACATTTCCGTTGTCATATTACATAACGGTCAACAAATTCTTAATGGCGTCAGTTAACTTTTCAAAGGAATGACTTCAATTTCACCATTTGGAACCCTTGGTTTAATAGCTTCCTTGTGACCAACAATCCTCTATCAAGGAAATGATGATAGGGAATTCAAGCTCCGGAGTATTGTATCAACTGGGAGAAATTTATATTATATAAACATATGAAGGCGCTGCTGGAATGTTAATATATAGAAAAGGAAAGTTTACAATAGGGAAGCTTAGACATATCAACCAAGTGTAGTAATGTTGGACTTAACTGATGTGTAAATAGATACAATTATCTTGGTTTTCATTTCTGTCCACCAGGCTCATTTTCCTTTACATAAGAAAAACTTTATAAAAAAAGTTACAAAGGCCTACTTCAAAATGTATAAATATCTGTTCTCATTGAATCCTCCTGCTCAAAGTTTTTTAAAACAACGAGAACTCGATTAGTAATTCTTCACCGAGTTGACATCCCTACTTAAAACTAGTGTTCATACGTTTGATTATACAGTTAAACCTAATATTTTCATTATGGTTGTGATGCGTGAGGAATGTTTAACACTTTTACATCTTTTAGCAACGACCTGTTGACTTTTAAAGAATCATTGCATATGAAATTCTGTAAATACATTCTTGGTGTCCAATTGAAAGAACAAATACAACTGTTTTGTCTGAACTTCAACAATTTCAACAATTTGAAAGCTATGATGGTACTGTAGTTAATCAGTTAATGTTTCACTGCCTTTCAACAATGCCCGCGAAGGCTTTTATCTGATAGCAGGAAACCTGCATGGTGTACATGTTGTGCCACTATAAATGTCATACTAAAAATAATTAACTCTGCAAAACCAGCGAACAAGCAAACCTTGAATGGAAGTTTGTTATAAAATGTCTTTTAAAAACAACAACAACAAACAAACTGCATTTTGCTCTGTTTAAAATTGACTTTTGAAAAAAAAATATCTGTAATTCATAGTGTTGATATCAGAAAAAATGTAAAAGGGTAGATATCAAAGTATTGCTTAACCTAGATGCTGCAGTTGTGTAGTTGAAGATGAATTACACTTTCTTCAGCATTGTATTTCACTCACTAATGAAAGAAGTATTAACTATTATTGTGTGCTAGGAAATAGTGTGCTTACTTTGATTAGTTGATACCAAAGATCAGCTTACTAGTATTTGGTCAATTGAATATGACAATAAGGATATCTTGCTTAAGGCGAAGTATACGTAATTGCGCGCCTCTAGCGGAATTTGGGATAAACAACGTGCATCGTTAGTTACGCGAGTTATCTCCCCTACTCAAAGAAAGGAAAAATGGGCACTTGAAAGACAAATGACTTCGTGTGGTCTATCATGAATCAAAACTGTGACAAGTATTCCTGTGCCATCTCAAAACTTCAAAGAAATTATCAGAATGACTCCAACATCTTCAATCAGAAATCTGAGTATCCTCTTGTGAGTTAGTCTGACTCTATTGCCACTGTTTTTGTTTTAGACAGGCAGGAACAGGTACACAATACGACTCAGTGTTTAT